GCATGAGTTTTAAAGTTGATTTAACTTCAACCTTTCTCTTCTAGTCTACCAAACCGCGAGCATCTCCCACCACAAGTAAGTTTCTCGAACATTCCAGACTTACCCTAGGCCGGGACTTTGAAATATTTTGTGTAGTTATTGTAGTATTAATACTCAACTTAATAAATAGTGAGTAGAGCCGTCAACTTTATAGCTTAAAAATATTTAATACAATATTTTATAAACCAGTCAACTCAAGTAGTTGATAATATTAACTTTTCAAATCGTTTATAGAGTCTATCGTACTGCTTGAGGTATAAAGCATGATTACATTTTAAATTATTATTTTTTTAAACGGTTAGTACCTAGTAACACCGGGTTTCAATGGCGAATAGCAGCTTACAGCATTAGATTCTATTGGCGATTAGCTTATAGCACTAGATTCTATTGGCGAGTAGCTTATAGCACTAGATTCTATTGGCGAGTAGCTTATAGCACTAGATTCTATTGGCGAGTAGCTTATAGCACTAGATTCTATTGGCGAGTAGCTTATAGCACTAGATTGTAAAGTTTAAATTAGCGAGTAGCTTGTAACAGCAGGTTCTATTGGCGAGTTCCTAGTAACACCAGATTTCACTGGCGATCAGATTATAGCACTATATTCTATTGGCGATTAGCTCATAGCTCCAGGTTCTATTAGCGTGTAGCTTGTAAACCAGGCTCTATGGTAACACCAGGTTTCCTGTCAACAGATCAAACGATGAAGTACGCCTGCCTGTTGACGGCCGTGCTGGCCCTTGCTGTGTCCATTGTGGCAGCGGCAGACAAGAAAGAAGAATGCCAGTGGCAGTCCGTCAAGGTCAACGAAACAGTTACTGCAGGTACACGCCCTTTTTCATTTGACCTTTCTTAAATTTGGTCCCAGTTGAATCGGGACAATCAACTTGAAGCTTCTAAACATCTGATATTATTGATCTCATTATAAAGCAAAACTAAAAAACAGTTTTCTCCTAAACTAGCTTTAAACTCTGAGAAAACAAACGTGTCGGTTCTGTTTTTATGTAATCTCCGTCCTGTGGGTACTTATCGTCTACTTTGTACTTGCTTCCCCAGAGGTTACATTAGACATTCTAGTGAAAAATTACGACGCTTCCGGTGACCTCCATGGCACTCTCAGAATTGCTCTCTTCGGCGAGACCGTCCCCATGACCGTCCTCAACTTCTTCAGTATCTGCAACGGTGTCAAGAGGCCATCAGTAAGTCTGTGTTTTGTCTGCTATATAGGCCATTAATAAGAGTGTTGTCTGATTTATAGATCAGCAGTAGGTCTGTGTGATATCTGATAAATAGAGCATTTGTAAGTCTGTGTGCTGTCTGTCATAATGGCTATCAGTAAGTCTGTGTGATGTCTGATATATAGACTGTCAGTAAACCCTTTTTTTCGTTTGCTATTCACATCCCCTTTAATTATTCAAATGATGTATTTACACGATGTATATAATATGAATATTTCACGTACACATAAAATGATAAACGTGTAGAGGGTGTGTGAGTAGATGATTGGCACGTGTCTCCTCCCCCAGGGTGAGCTGAAGTACGCCAACACCTACTGCCACAGGTTCATCAAGGACTTGAACTTCCAATGTGGTGACACAACAACAGGCGATGGCTCAGGAGGTCAGTGACGTCATCGTTATCTTAGGCTGGGTGTCTTAGTTAACTAATGCGCCATGTTTGTGGGTGTCTTAGTTGACTGCTCAGAGATGCTTTAGTCTGAAGACATTCTCCCTTCCTGAACTCACTCTAAACGTATTACCACGCTGTGATTATTGTCACGTGTAGGTACCTTATCGGGTCTGTCTCTTGCAGGTATCTCCATGTACGGTGACACCTTCAACGATGAAAACTTCAACATTGGAATCAGCGAGAAAGGCACCATCGCCATGGCTAACAGAGGCCCCAACACCAACGGTTCTCAATTCTTCATCACCTTCAGGAGCTGGCAATTCCTTGACAACATGCACGTCGGCTTCGGACAGGTCGTAGGCAAGGAATCACTGGTGAGTTTCTGGTGCTTTAAGCACTCACAGTTGACCATCCTATAGCTGACGATAGGGCGAGTAATTGCTGACTAGTATGAAGCTAATAGTTTATGATACAGCTATTGGTTTCTGACTACATAGCTATTGATTTCAATCTATTGAACGACTTCCGACGTTACAGTAACTAATTGTTATCTGAAAGTAACGCTCAGTTTTTTTGATGAGACAATGCAGTAAATATAAAAAAAAAATTAAAACTGTTCAAATGCTGCCTCGCACACTAACATTAAGAAATAACACAAACGTATACATACTGTAAAAATGTATGATAAAAAAAATATACATCTTTTTGAAAACCAAAATATGAACTTAAATGACGTATAGTTAAGAGATGTAATCAAAATTATGACGCGATTGAGTAAAAGTAGATGAAGTAGAGTTTATCAAAACGTATGCATCTATCGCAGGACTTCCTGGACAAGCTGGCCGAGATTGATGTTGAAGACGATGGTCTGACACCCAAGAAGCGTGTCAAGATTGTCGACTGTCAAGCCAAGGACGTCAAGAAATACAAGATCCAGAGACGTGCCTCAGTCAACGACGACAAATTCTAGACATTTCTAACGCCATCATTTTGTGTCAATAGCCATTTTTTAATCTTTTCTCAGATTACATAACTGTGTCGTCTAAAAGTCGGTGTGTGTGCGTGTGTGCGTGTTCGTGTGTTTATGTTTGACTATTACATTCTCCTAAAGGCGCCAGCCTTGATTGGTAGACATGACGTGAGAGATGAATTGTGAGCTGTTATTAGGTCAACATGGCGCTCGGCGCATGATGATCACGTGATCACAAATAAAGATAATACTTAGTATAACGGTCTATGAGTTGGTTTGTGAATGCGTGATGTGGATGGGTGGGGTCAAATGGTGACCCGGATGTACTAAGCTCTGGTCCCGTGCTTGTGTCTGTACCACATGGTAGAGCCAGTCAGCTCTAATGGGTACCCACTTAAGGTTGGGTAAGTAGAGGACGCGAGGCACCGTTCTGACGTCATCGCCTCATACGTCTGTCACGTTTTGTAAGCCTGACTAGACGTCAGCTTAAGGTTAGACAAATATCTAATTATATTTTAACCTCTCATCAACATGAAAGTAATTTAAAATACAGTTACCCTTTCGGACCTGTCAGTGTAGAGGGAGATGAAGTAGAGTTTTTTTGTTTCTATGACATCAGCATATCAGATATGTTCTTTGTCCATTGGAGCTGGGTGGAATCAGGGTAGTCCGACGAACTCTAGAGTGGGATTCGAACTCGAGACTTTTGGGTTAGCATGCATGACCTTTAGCGCCCGACCAGGCCGTCCCATATAAGTAATTTAAAGGATGGTTTAATTTTGGAAGTTACTTTTTTTTAAATATGTGCTACACTGGAAGACTAGACACATCGCACTGGGACGTGAGTTAAAAATAAGCTAAGTCTAGTCAAGGTACGGTCAGACGCCGCTTAAAGTATGGAGATAAAGACTCAGGATCAAATCTTCTGCAGTCTAATTCAACAATATTTATGTACGGCTATAGAAATGTTGTGTTCAAAAGTGAAATCTGGAAATTTCTGTAACAACTAACAAGGAAAAATGTAATTTTAATTCCCCCAGTCTTTGATTAAAAGAAAAAAAAAATAACATTAAGGGAGGCTACTGTAAGCTGTCCAGAGCTAAACGAATAATAGGTGTTATCCCCCTTTCATTTAAGATGTGAAACTTGAAACAGCCTCTGCTTATTATTTAGTTTGAGGTAGAAAATACTTTTTAGTATTAGGACAGATGTCATAGTTTGGGCGATTGCAGCTGGGGGGTGGTACTCTGTCGCAGCTGTAAGTGGTACTCTGTCATAGCTGTAAGTGGTACTCTGTCGCAGCTGTAAGTGGTACTCTGTCGCAGCTGTAAGTGGTACTCTGTCGCAGCTGTTAGTGGTACTCTGTCACAGCTGTAAGTGGTACTCTGTCGCAGCTGTTAGTGGTACTCTGTCGCAGCTGTAAGTGGTACTCTGTCGCAGCTGTTAGTGGTACTCTGTCGAAGCTGTAAGTGTTACTCTGTCGCAGCTGTAAGTGGTACTTTGCCGCAGCTGGGGCAGTACTCAGTCGAAGCTGGAGGTGGTAGTATAATTTCGACGCAGGAGCTAGAAATATCCACCAAGTAAAAAATGAGTTTTTGTTTTGATGTTCTTTTATTTGGTTTGTTGCTAAACGTGAGATCCGTCCAAAGCTCAGATTCTTTGTTAGCCTTAATGGTTGTTTATACAAACATTCTTTCTTTCTCTCTCTCTCTCTGTCTCTCTCTCTCTCTCACACACACACACACACATTCTCTCTCAAACACACACATTTACTCACTCTCATCTTTTACACACACAAACATTTTCTCGTACTCACACAAGTTCTCTCTCTCTCTCTCTCTCTCTCTCTCTCTCTCTCTCTCACACACACACACACACACATTACATGAGATTACAAGATCACAAGATCATGTGACCAAAATATTTGCCAAACGGTGTTATTGATTTGTTAATGTTAACAAATAACGTCACTCTTTTATCTTAAGACCATGCCCCCCCCCCCCCCACATCGACGAACATAGTCACAAAAAAGTCACTCACCCCCCCCCCCCCCCCACACACACACACACACCATACCACACGCCATACTTAAGCTTAGACTTTTAAAACATTGTTAGATTTTTTTCTTGACTTTAGTTCGTGGTAAATTGTGTGTATTGGGGTGTTTGCCCTTCTCGAAGATATTGAAATACACAACAATACGGATTTAAAAATAACACATACAGTGCGGGTTTGTTTTGAAAATTGTATTCCCGACATTTAGATAAATAAATAAATACACAAATAAAGTAACAGCATGTCCTTAGATTTCTTTATGAAATAAACATCGCTTACAATCAACAGCTTTCTCGTCAATATAGAGAATCATGGACAATTTTAAAATCAACAATATCTCGATATCTCGTCAAAATAGACAATCTTAGACACTTAGAACATTAAAAAACCATTCAAAACATTAATACTTAGTTATCATAATCTCCACTATGCACCCCAACCGCATATAACACACAGAGCATCCGTGCATTTCTTGTCATAATCCACTCTTTAAGCCTGATTACCTGTTAAAATACCCCCTCTCACCCCACCCCCGCTAAGGTAAAAAAAAAATCTACTTCCCTCCCAATGCTCCCGCACCTCTCCCGTCAACTCCCCACCGACCTCCCAACCAACCTCTCTACATCTTTGTTGTCGCCTAGCCTTAGCCTCTCTCTACAGCTTTGTTATGTCACCTAGCCTTAGCCTCTCTCTACAGCTTTGTTATGCCGCCTAGCCTTAGCCTCTCTCTACAGCTTTGTTATGTCGCCTAGCCTTAGCCTCTCTCTACAGCTTTGTTGTCGCCTAGCCTTAGCCTCTCTCTACAGCTTTGTTGTCGCCTAGCCTTAGCCTCTCTCTACAGCTTTGTTGTCGCCTAGCCTTAGCCTCTCTCTACAGCTTTGTTATGTCGCCTAGCCTTAGCCTCTCTCTACAGCTTTGTTGTCGCCTAGCCTTAGCCTCTCTCTACATCTTTGTTGTCGCCTAGCCTTAGCCTCTCTCTACAGCTTTGTTGTCGCCTAGCCTTAGCCTCTCTCTACAGCTTTGTTATGCCGCCTAGCCTTAGCCTCTCTCTACAGCTTTGTTATGAGTGTCTAGCCTTAGCCTCTCTCTACAGCTTTGTTATGAGTGTCTAGCCTTAGCCTCTCTCTACAGCTTTGTTATGAGTGTCTAGCCTTAGCCTCTCTCTACAGCTTTGTTATGAGTGTCTAGCCTTAGCCTCTCTCTACAGCTTTGTTATGCCGCCTAGCCTTAGCCTCTCTCTACAGCTTTGTTATGAGTGTCTAGCCTTAGCCTCTCTCTACAGCTTTGTTATGAGTGTCTAGCCTTAGCCTCTCTCTACAGCTTTGTTATGAGTGTCTAGCCTTAGCCTCTCTCTCTCTCTCTACAGCTTTCTTATACCTGAGCCTCACATAACCTCCATCAACAAACGATCACCCACATACATATTATGTCATCTGTCCTCTATACATCCTAATCTCTCTAACATCTCTAAATATTCTCCTTCAGCTAGCCTTAATCTTATATTCTCATTTTCTCTGTCCCGATTAACCTTAAAATTTAAAAAATACAAAAGCTACAAATAAACACGTCTAAAATTTCTATCACACAAAGAACAAGGCATCAAAAATTGGACGATAAAATATTGTTTACAATAATTACATCAGCTGATTAAATTGTATGTACAGTTTAGATACAAGGTCTCACGCTGTGTAAGATCTCCATATCGTATGCTGCACTGAAGCACTCATTAGTTTAACGCTTCTTCTTAGCATGCACTAGCTGTATGCTTCTTAACAGCATACACAAGCTGCTGGCTCTATTTTGTAGCGCACACTTTCTGTATGCTGCATCACTATATATATATATATATATATATATATATATATATATATAATGCCATTTCATAGCATACACTACATGTAGACTACATTATACCATGCACCTGCTATATGCTGCAACATAACATACAATACCTGTATGCTACATAATAGCATACACTACATGATCAGCATAAGATATGTAGCATATCCAGTTCATTCTGCTTTGATTTGCTGCAGTTCAGCAAACAATTCGATATCTTCAGTGTAAGATTGTGTGAGTGGTCACACGTGTTAAGCACGTGCCGTTGAAAACACTCCAAGAGGATAAGTTTCTGGCCAACGAATCGAACAATAACGTCGTTATTGCTCACCACGAACTGGTGTGCGTCTGGGGCTGAGTACTCGCTCACGTGCAGTGATTTTTTTCTTTACTGGGTTGTGGTGATCTTGTGTCTCAGTGGTAGCACTAATGTGTACGTGTGGCTAGATGGTAGAACTAGTGTTTACGTGTGGCTAGATGGTAGCACTAGTGTGTATGTGTGTCTCGGTGGTTGTGCTAATGTGTACGTGTGGCTAGATGGTAGCACTTACGTGTATGTGTGGCTAGATGGTAGCACTAATGTGTATGTAGCACTTACGCGTACGTGTGGCAAGCACTAATTTTTACGTGTGGCTAGGGTGGTAGCACTAATGCGTACGTGACCATATTTTAGAAACATTCCGCATGAACAAAAAATGTTACTCATATTTTTAGGATAAATCTCAAATGAAATATTATATGGCATGAAATATGAGTTTAACTCACACGCTCACAATGCACGTGAAAAAGGAGCTCCTAGCACTGCTAAACAATGCTATCTGAAGCACGTGAATGGAAACGTTTTTTCCCTAATCCATTGACATTTTTGCTGCGTGTTAAATGTCAGCTACCTACCTCCCTTAGGATCGGCTGAAAACGCTTTGATATTTTAGCTGATCAGCTGACATCTGTTGACATATGTCATGTTATGAAGATGTCGTGAAATGTCACACGGTTCCCATTCCAAACGTGTTTCGCTATTTGTGTTTAGAGCAAACATTTTCCCCAGCACCGTAACGACAGGTGAAGAGACTGTTCAGGTCTACACCAGTAAATGCAACAGCGATATTTGCTCCCAGGTAGAGATCAATTCTCTATGGATTCGATGAAAATGTTCTAGAAATATTATCGTCCACACTAGCTAAGAATCCGCCTAAAAGTTAAAGTACTTAAAAATCGTGAACATGTGCAATTTCTGAGTACAGCGGTAAAAAATGTGTAGTCTACATACCGAGTTCTCGCTTTGTACACATTCACCAAATGATATGTTGATATAAATAGAAATGTTAATAATATACACTGAGCCTAGCAATTTTCTTCTATAAATAAACTTTGGCAATTGCTATCCATCGTTACTTAGTTTTGCCATACGGCAAAAAGTTGATGTTAATTGAAAATTTTGAAGAATTTGTTCAAAGTTTTCTTTTGTTGTATTTTCTCGTCCTTTTTGTCCGTGGCGCCTTTGGGAGACTTGGGTCTCCGTTGTAGGGTCATCTGGGACTGGGCCTGCTGCTGGGGCCCCCAGTGGGCCTGACGGTCGTCTGCTATGTAGACGGGCTGCATGATGTGACCGTACTTGTCGTGGTGGGCCTCCTGGATCAGCCGGTGGAAGACCTTCTCCACTAGCTCGTACTCTTCCGTCGCTGTCGTCTCGTAGAACACAGAGTCGTACTCGGTTGCTAGGGACGCTCCTTCAGATTTATTCACCTGTCTGTTTGAGTGTGAGATAGAGATACAGGGAGAGAGAGGTTATATTTATATGATAGTACGGTTGTTATATATTTAAAACACTGAATAATGTTTAGATTTTTAATTATTAATCGGAATTCAAAGAGTCGAAGCCAATTACAAACACTCAATTTATTTACAACACACACACACACACACAGAGTGAGAGTAAAGTAATGCGCAATTGATTTCATGTACAGTTTCACCATCTGCAGGTTATAATTTCAATTCAATTACCTCGAAGTTAGGTTAAAACACCGAATGTGTACACAAAGATTATTTTTATCTAAGCCAGGACACAACAACAGGAGCCATGTTTTCCTACCCTGAGTTGACCTACTTTTTTTTAGTTCTCTCACAGATCACGAAGTCGGTCAACTTTTCAGACCATCCCCCCAATGTATTTAACCATCTTCTAAATGTACGAGCTCTGCTAGTTACAACTTAAAGACCCAGATATTCTACTTGTAGATAGTAGATGCGAGTAACGCTTCTTTCAAAAGTTTATCCTACCTTGTGAAAGCTGACAAGATAACACACACTAGCGGTTGCCGGCGTATGATTTAATAAATTGAATATTTTAAATCTGAGTCACGTGATATTATTTGATTATTGAATTCATGTGATGCTGTATGTTCTGTAATGGACAGTTCGATCTCCAGTAATAGCAGCGCCTTCAATCTAGCACCAGACGGATCTATACGAGGTAAAGGTTACTTTTATCTGTGGTACAATCAGAAGGTAACTTTAGACGGGTCTACCGCTGGGATGGGGAGCTGAAAATGGCGGAGGACATAGAGGAATGGAGGAAGTTGATCAAAGCACACTCGTGGAGCCAAATGGGTCCATTTAGAGTGCGGGGCCGACGATGAGGTCGCAGTGTTATAACTTTAAATAGAGAAACTTCAACTAGAGACCTAATCACTCAATTAAATATTTCATTAGATGAGCTACTAGCGGGATCACAAATAAGTACGTTAATCCCCCACCTGATTTGTTAATCCCCCACCTGATCTGTACATCTGTAACACCTACAACAGGTGCCGCACTTCTTATCTCACATTCGCCTTTTACATTTTTTTTAAATTCATCTTTTATTCAGAGGAACCTGCTACAAATTTTTTTATCAACCTTTAATCTTCTAATGAATACAACAACACACCTGTTTAGGTTAGTTTAACCAACCCAATCCACCTACTCAACCACTCCTACTCCCTACCACTCTTCCCCTATAAATCACTCCCACAACCACACCTTCTCCGAAACCACTCCCCCCCCCCCCCCCACACGGTGCCAAGAAGCGCCGATTCTCTCTACCAGATGCTCACCTGATAATATGGACTCACCTGTAACGTTCCAAATCTATTTTATTGCCCACGAGAGCTAGTGGGCATTCTCGGCCTTGACCTTTGAGGTAGATAGAAATACTCTCCATGTACTCCTTGGCCACGTCATAGGTCTGTCTGTTGGTTATACTGTAAACTATCAAAAATGCGTCGGCCCACTTCAAGTATCTGCTTGGGTCACAGTCCTCCTAAGCTCCGTCAAAAAAAATATTTAATTTTACATTTGATTTATGTAGAAATATTTGAAATGTTTACATTAGATTTAAATAGAAAATTTGAAATTTTACATTCGATTTAACTTAAATAGAAAATTTGAAATTTTACATTAGATTTAAATAGAAAATTTAAAATTTTACATTTTGCACATCAGTATCATTTATTTTCAATTCATAAGAATTCTCTAACAGTAATTAATAGCAGCACGAAGGTTCACTAATCAAAACTACGGTTAATTCTAAACAATTAATACCATGTTTGTTATGACTTAACCAAGTAAAACATTTGTTAATTATTGCTCATGTTGTTGTCCATGTCTTTCTACAAACTGTAGAGCATTCTAGATCAGATAATTTTTGTCTGTCTTGGTCTGTGAGGATTAATGTATGTGTAATGGTAGGCCTTTTGTGACTTTATGTACCAGTTATGATAGGTCTACACTTACACACTGTAATAGAAGCTTACACTTACACACTGTAATAGTAGGCCTACATTTACAGACTATAACAGTAGGCCTACAATTGCAGAATGTAATAGTTGGCCTAAACTTACAGAATGTAATAATCGGCCTAAACTTACAGAATGTAATAATCGGCCTAAACTTACAGAATGTAATAATCGGCCTAAACTTACAGAATGTAATAATCGGCCTAAACTTACAGATAGCTTCAGGTACATGTGTAATGCTAGCTTACTTCTAACAATGTACGAGTAAGAATTGTTTTATAAGTAACTCGTGGGTGGGTTGTGTTCAGAATTCTACGAGAATATGTGTTGAACACGATTTGGTGTGATGTAATAAATTAGGTGGTAATTAATGTTTAATATATTAGATGGTTTGTGTTAGTGGAAACATTAGGCCTAAAACATGATTCGCAAGACTGTAATTCTGCCTTCTATGGACCTCAGACCTTGCTGTCCTGTCTTCTAGAGACCTTAGACCTTGCTGTCCTGTCTTCTAGAGACCATACAATTTGTCCTGTCTTCTAGAGACCATACAATTTGTCCTGTTTTCGAAAGACCTTAGACCTTGATGTCCAGTTTTCTAGAAACCTTATCCTGTTTTCTAGAGACCCGAGCCTTTGCTGTCATGTCTTCTAGAGACCTGAGCCCTAGCTGTCCTGTCTTCAAGAGACCTAAGACTTTGCTGTATTGTCTTCTAGAGACCTTGGATATCGTGTTTCGTCTTCTAAGGAATGTTTTTCCAGTTTTGTTTTTAAAAACACACCATGAAAACCGTTGTTGAATTTTTCAATGTGCGTTGTAAATCTTAATGTGAACAGGTAGTTCATTTTTACACCTGCTATCACTATGTCAGGGGGAAGGGGAGGTAGATGGTGAAAGGTGCATGCATCACGTATTTATCTTCCCCTGGATTCTGATCATTTCTCTCTCCATATCTCGGCTTCTAATCTCCCAGAAAACAGCCTGCCTCAACAGCGTACTTATGACATCATTAGAAATGGCGGATGTTTGTTTATAATCAAATGAAGTACCAGGGTATTAAAAGAATGGACGCCGTGTGCGATGCAGATTTCACGATAAAATAGAAGGAGAAAAATATGAGAATGTTAGCTTTTGGAATAATGGGTGTATTGTTTAAAATGATAAAATCGGACGCACGCTGAGCTAAACTTAGCTTGCTGACAAATTCTTTTAATAAACTATTTTAAGGGAGCTTTGAGAAGATATTTCACAAGTTTTAGACTTGTAGTACTCTCTAGAGGCACAGTGTAAAAACGTTAAAACTCAACCTTAAAGAATTTTTTAAACGAACTAATTTCGACTTGAGCAATCTATATGTTAAATAGATATAAGAGATATGATCACGTGTCTAATGGAACTTTGGAAATCTCTACAAGAAAATTCTAGCAGACAAAAGTCCCAGGGGGTGTTACCTTCTCTAGTGCTAGAGCTTAGGGCTGTCAGGTTTTTACCTTTATCACTAGTACCAGGTGAGTGCTTGGGTGCAAGGTAAAACACCGGTTGGCTTGCAGGAGAAATCTAGATTCATTTGGGGGATGTCCAACCTAGTTGAGACCCGTTGCAAGACACTTCGGGGATTGTCCAATCTATTTGGGAAACTTTGCAAGACACCTTAATTTTGGGGATGGCCCAGCCACGTTGAGAACCAACCAGTTGAGACCCGTTGCAAGACACTTTAAATTGGGGGATGGTCCAATCAAGTTGGGGACCGCTTAAATAAATTTTCCTAGTAGAAAAGCAACCAATTCATTCTCGGAGTGAAAAAGCAATTCACACAACAGCTTTGTGAAAAACTCTATCCACATAGTATCATGGTGGGAAAGGCTGTCCAAATAGTAGCTGGGTGGAAAAGGCTGTCCAAATAGTAGCTGGGTGGAAAAGGCTGTCCATATAAATCTTGGTGGAAAGCTACCATCATAGTATGTTTGTGGGAAAGGCTATCCACATTGTACCTTGATGGAATAGGCTGTCCAAATAGCATCTTGGTGGAAAAGGCTATCCACATAGTAATTTGGTAGAACAAACTGTCTATATAGTGTCTTGGTGGAACAGCAATCCACATAGTATCGTGGTGCAAAAAGCTGTCCACATAGTATCTTGGTAAAAAGGCTATGCACATAGTATCTGGGTGGAAAAAGCTATGCACATAGTATCTGGGTGGAACAGCAATCCATACAGTATATTGAAGCCATCACAACACAGGGACGATAACTCAATTTGCAAGGTTTGACTGCGCCGTTTGTTGACTCGACTTTCTCAAATCTGCAAGCCTAAGCTGGTAATTACGGTTGAAAGCTGCGTAAACAAGACGTCAGTGCAGGACGTGCTGGCTCTAATGACGTCTGTGACGTATAAAAACACGACTGCAGAATCAGTGAAACAAGATGCTGGGTATTTTAATTAGCTGAGATCGTAATCTCATGTTTGTTAGGTGTAGGTCTTCAACTTGGGAGCAGTAGGGTAGTTTTAAGTTAGGTAAGTTAGTGAAGGTGTCAAGATTTTAGGGGTAGGTCTTTAACTTTGGTGGTTTGGTAGCTTAAAGCTAGATAAATTAGTGGAGCAGACTTTCTTCCAGGCATCTCTTCGAGGGGGGGGGGGCAGAGCCGAAGAAAGTATAACGCCCCGCAAATGGAATTTATATAGAAATATATACTTTTAACAGTGTCCGCCCCCCCCTCCCCGGAGAAAAACGTCTGGAAGAAACACTGCCTATCAGTATACGTGGGTATAGATGAAGTGGGTAGATTAAAGTTAGTGTGTAAGAGATTCATGCTTTTATTTTTATTTAGGTTTGAACTGGTTTTGTTCAGTTTAATTTAAAATATTTGGAATTTTTTTTAAAAGAAGGTTATAACATAAGAAAGTTTCCAGATAAGTAAGTGCAGCTTGGAATAAGTCAATCTAGAACTGACTCCTGTACAATCCAGTTATACAATATTACAAACCCTGAACGCAATACAAACAATTAATTAAACTTGCTATAATGAAACGAAAAATCTTTTAAAACCATTTATTATGTGCTACTGACCTATCACATGTGTCCATGATGTGCTACTGACCTATCACATGTGGCCATGATGTGCTACTGACCTATCACATGTGGCCATGATGTGCTACTGACCTATCACATGTGTCCATGATATGGACGATGTATGATGTGCTACTGACCTATCACATGTGGCCATGATGTGCTACTGACCTCATCACATGTGGCCATGATGTGAACGATGTATGATGTGCTACTGACCTTATTGTGGACGATGTATGATGTGCTACTGACCTAATCACATGTGTCCATGATATGAACGATGTATGATGTGCTACTGACCTAATCACATGTGGCCATGATATGGACGATGTATGATGTGCTACTGTCCTTATCACATGTGTCCATAATGTGAACGATGTATGATGTGCTACTGTCCTTATCACATGTGTCCATGATGTGGACGATGTATGATGTGCTACTGACCTTATTGTGAACGATGTATGCTGTGCTACTGTCCTAATCACATGTGTCCATAATGTGAACGATGTATGATGTGCTACTGTCCTTATTGTAAACGATGTATGCTGTGCTACTGTCCTAATCACATGTGTCCATAATGTGAACGATGTATGCTGTGCTACTGTCCTTATCACATGTGTCCATAATGTGAACGATGTATGCTGTGCTACTGTCCTTATCACATGTGTCCATAATGTGGACGATGTATGATGTGCTACTGACCTATCACATGTGTCCATAATGTGCTACTGACCTTATCACATGTGTCCATGATGTGGACGATGTATGATGTGCTACTGACCTATCACATGTGTCCATAATGTGCTACTGAACTTATCACATGTGTCCATGATGTGGACGATGTATGATGTGCTACTGATCTTATTGTGGATGATGTATGATGTGCTACTGACTTTAGCACATGTGTCCATGATATGGACGATGTATGATGTATGATGTGCTACTGACCTTATTGTGTACCATGTATGATGTGCTACTGACCTATCACATGTGTCCATAATGTGGACGATGTATGATGTGCTACTGATCTTATTGTGGATGATGTATGATGTGCTACTGACTTTAGCACATGTGTCCATGATATGGACGATGTATGATGTATGATGTGCTACTGACCTTATCAAATGTGTCCATAATGTGCTACTGACCTTATCACATGTGTCCATAATGTGCTACTGACCTATCACATGTGTCCATAATGTGCTACTGACCTTATCACATGTGTCCATGATGTGGACGATGTATGATGAATGATGTGCTACTGACCTATCACATGTGTCCATAATGTGCTACTGACCTTATCACATGTGTCCATGATGTGGACGATGTATGATGAATGATGTGCTACTGACCTATCACATGTGTCCATAATGTGCTACTGACCTTATCACATGTGTCCATGATGTGGACGATGTATGATGAATGATGTGCTACTGACCTATCACATGTGTCCATAATGTGCTACTGACCTATCACATGTGTCCATAATGTGCTACTGACCTTATCACATGTGTCCATGATGTGAACGATGTATGATGTGCTACTGACCTTATTGTGAACGATGTATGATGTGCTACTGACCTTATCACATGTGTCCATGATGTGGACGATGTATGATGTGCTACTGACCTTATCACATGTGTCCATGATGTGGACGATGTATGATGTGCTACTGACCTTATCACATGTGTCCATGATGTGGACGATGTATGATGTGCTACTGACCTTATCACATGTGTCCATGATGTGGACGATGTATGATGTGCTACTGTCCTTATCACATGTGTCCATGATGTGGACGATGTATGATGTGCTACTGACCTTATTGTGAACGATGTATGATGTGCTACTGACCTTATCACATGTGTCCATGATGTGGACGATGTATGATGTGCTACTGTCCTTATCACATGTGTCCATAATGTGGACGATGTATGATGTGCTACTGACCTTATTGTGAACGATGTATGATGTGCTACTGACCTTATCACATGTGTCCATAATGTGGACGATGTATGATGTGCTACTGACCTATCACATGTGTCCATGATGTGCTACTGACTTATCACATGTGTCCATGATATGGACGATGTATGATGTGCTACTAACCTTATCACATGTGTCCATGATATGAACGATGTATGATGTGCTACTGACCTATCACATGTGTCCATAATGTGGATTATGTATGATGTGCTACTGACCTTATCACATGTGTCCATGATGTGCTACTGACCTTATCACATGTGTCCATGATGTGGACGATGTATGATGTGCTACTGACCTTATTACATGTGTCCATGATGTGCTACTGACCTTATCACATGTGTCCATAATGTGGACGATGTATGATGTGCTACTGACCTTATCACATGTGTCCATGATGTGCTACTGACCTTATCACATGTGTCCATAATGTGGACGATGTATGATGTGCTACTGACCTTATCACATGTGTCCATGATGTGGACGATGATATCTTGACCGTCCAGGTCCTCGTGTTTTGTGTACGTGCCCTCTAGAGGAGAGAAACATGGTCTATTTTTAGCCTGACTCTTGAGTTCTATATTTAGATTAAACTTCTTTGAACTTCAGGAAAACTTAAAAATTATGCGCATTTTTAAAACATCTTAATTTTGTAATTTCGAATCAGATTAATTAACAGATATTTTATATGTTGTAATGACATATTATAATGCTGTTAGTGTTTCTTAATAAAGCGCTTACACAGTGATCTTTTTACTATCTATTTGGTTTTTTGCCATTGATGACGTAAGTTCTGTCATGTTACAGATATTGAACTCTGCACCCCTCTAGAATCCCCCCCCCCTCCCCAACCCCCAACTAACTAGCTCTAACATCAACACATATATGTTAAGCCTATATTTATCTGGCATGTGTTCTTGTGGTGATGATCCGTCAAAACATCTGTCATCGTTTTTCTCTTTCCAGATAGTTTTTATATCCGTCGAGTCTTTGAATGAAAATATTGTTTATACCTGTCATGTTTCTTAATGAAAATATGTCAAGCCTTTGAATGGAAATAATTTTATACCTTTTATGTCTTTGAATAAAAAATATGCTTGCACCTGTCATGTCTTTGAAAAGACATTTTTTATATGTTTTATGTTTCTGAATTTTAAAAAAAAATGTGTGTTTATAAATCGAGACACCTGGTAGGGCCTACACACTTTCCTAAAAGAAAAACAAACGCTATTTTTATACTGAATACGGTAATGATTTATTCCAGTTCAAATATACATTGATAGCGCAATGATTTAAGAATTTAAAAATTTGACAATCTTTCAAATTTCGCAAGTACTCTTTGTGAGAACTTAAGTTTATGATCTTCGTAAAATGTCAATTTTTCTTTAATTAATTCACCCAATTATCATTTTTTTTAAATATTTTGTACATAAAAAAAAATAAAAGCTGGATAAGAAAATAATATATTTGATTATATTCTTTGACATGTTTTGATATTCAACAAAGTGATGATTAATTGCTGTTTTTTTTTCTTCCATTATTTATTCAATTTACTGTTAGTTTAACTTTTCTTTAAGTAATCATATTTCCTGCACGCGCGAAAATCACGTGACTTCAACTTCCGCTCACGTGGCTAAAGGATAACACATATAAACTAACATGGCTTTCTAAAACCTATCATTCACCTGTTATGCTAGTTAAAAGGTCGATAAAAACACTATATTAGTTGTTATCGAAACTTTTGTTTCAAATTTATTGTAATAAAGAGATTATACGTCACTTGTAGAACTGCTGAACGTAGTTGTTTAACTTGATGTGTTTAAAGTGATATAATCTGTCTGCCGGGTTTAACTTAGTTTAACTATTATTTTGCTAATGTTGTTGTTAAATGCTGATTTGTTTTGTCTATACAACAAACCATGTGGCAAGGCTAGTAGAAACTGTCACGTGACTGACCTAAATCAGGATCGTATTCCATGATGAACCTCCTCGTGATGTACTTGACCGTCAGAGCTGGAAAAGTGAGAGCATAGATGTTCAGGTGTTAGGGAACACGAACATAGAGTATGTTCAGGTGTTAGGGAACACGAACATAGAGTATGTTCAGGTGTTAGGGAACACGAACATAGAGTATGTTCAGGTGTTAGGGAACACGAACATAGAGTATGTTCAGGTGTTAGGGAACACAAACATACAATATGTGTCGACGTTTGGGAAAACAAACATAAAATATGTTTAGAACTTAAGGAAAACAAACGAAACAAACATAAAATATGTATAAAAGTTAGGGAAAACAAACGAAACAAACATAAAATATGTTTAGAACTTAAGGAAAACAAACGAAACAAACATAAAATATGTATAAAAGTTAGGGAAAACAAACGAAACAAACATAAAATATGTTTAGAACTTAAGGAAAACAAACGAAACAAACATAAAATATGTATAAAAGTTAGGGAAAACAAACGAAACAAACATAAAATATGTCTAGAGGCTAGAGAAAACCAGACACAACAAACCTAAGATAACAACACACAAAACCTCCCCAATTAACTAATTAACCCATAACAACAGTTACAACCTCCTCTTTACACCTATGAAAACAACCTTTACAGATTCCCTGATAAACATTTAACAGCAACATTTACAACTTCGCGTATAAACCTTTGACTACAACTTTTACAATATCCACTATACACATCCTCTGATACACTTTTTAAAATGTTTCTAATTCTGTTGCCTTGCCGAATCCATCCACCCCCCCCCCCCTCCCCAACATCACTCCCCCCCCTCCTCAAGATGTTTTTCTTGTGTAAACTGAGACACAGGGACCTGACAACCAGCCCCCACCACTACACATGTTTTCCTTAAGCACGCGCTAGCACGAGTAATCTGATTGATAGGACGGCTTTGTAGAGTGTCTACTGTAGTGGTTTTATAGTGTCTACAGTACTCGATGTCATTTGTAGAGGGTCTACTGTAGTGGTTTTATAGAGTGTCTACAGTACTCGATGTCATTTGTAGAGTGTCTACTGTAGTGGTTTTATAGTGTCTACTCAGTGACTTTGTAGAGTGTCTACTGTAGTGGTTTTATAGAGTGTCTACAGTACTCGATGTCATTTGTAGAGTGTCTACTGTAGTGGTTTTATAGTGTCTACAGTACTCGATGTCATTTGTAGAGTGTCTACAGTACTCGATGTCATTTGTAGAGTGTCTACTGTAGTGGTTTTATAGTGTCTACAGTACTCGATGTCATTTGTAGAGTGTCTACAGTACTCGATGTCATTTGTAGAGTGTCTACTGTAGTGGTTTTATAGTGTCTACAGTACTCGATGTCATTTGTAGAGTGTCTACAGTACTCGATGTCATTTGTAGAGTGTCTACTGTAGTGGTTTTATAGTGTCTACAGTACCCGATGTCCTTTGTAGAGTGTCTATAGTACTCAGTGGCTTTGTAGAGTGTCTGCAGTACTCATTGGCCCCTTCTGATTTGAATGGGCCTGGTCTATTGCGCATTGTGTTAAAGTGCCATATCATTCATGACCATCCTTTGAGATTTATTATATATTTTTTGTATACGGTTCTTTGGGTATGATTTAGGCGTGCTAGATTTTTTGGGGGTGAGCAGTGTTGTTGATTAAATGTGTAGACACGTCGGTGTGACCTAGATCCCGCTCACGGCTGCTGCTATGATTATGTTATGATGAGCGTCAGCTACGGGAGAGAGAGCAGAAACGCCTGCAGTAGACTGGCGTCTGCTACAGAACTCAGGTATCGCAGACTTGGGTTACAAAAGGTAAGGCACGGCGGGGGTCTCGGGGTGCGAGCTGTAACAAAAGGGTTATATCATCTTTTGCTACTTCCGGTTTTTATTTGAAACATTTCAACTCACATCCGCTCTCGGTTGTTGCTAAAAATAGCCGCCCTATATTCGCCTAATGGCTGTAGTACATGTTAAGTTTAAACAACCTCGTGATGTAAAACACATTTTTTTTTCTCGAGACATACAAGTTACATCCCATATCTGTTTGTGCTTTTAACAGAGTGCTATAATTACATCGGCAGTATAGTACACAATGGTCGCATGGTAGTGCTTACGAATGATAACACTAGGGTATCGAGTTCGGATCCCGGCATCGAGACCTACTGACGTCTGAGTCCACCTAGCTGTAATTGGTACCCATCTCACATTAGGGAAATCAATGCGGCCGGGCATAGTACTGGCGACACTACCCCCTGAATGTTGAGATCATTAAAACAAATGAACTCTACTGTATCTGCTTTATGTGTCTTGATCACGAACGGAATAAACCGGGAGTGATCTCCCCTAAACTTTCTCGAATATTCTTATGTAAAATAACAGGGGATGGGAACTCGGGCTATAGACATGATTTTTAATCCATTTTAAATACTTAAAGTTTTAAAAATATAATAAAATCTAGTAGACAAATTAATTGCACACCAAGTGAACGCCAAATAAAAAAGCGCATAATAGTGCGCAATATTATTAGTACTTTTAAAATTTACATTAGTTTTTTGAGAAATCGGAAGTAGCGTAAATTACTACTTCCAGTCAACGGAAATTACTCAAAATTTAACAGATGGTAGAGAATTAGATCTTTTACTTTCATGTGAAATTTCGTTTATCTATCTGAAATAGTACTCAAGTTATAGGCTTTTGAAAAATTCAAAGTAGGAAAAGTACCACTTCCGGTTATCGGAAATCGCTAAAAAGTTGATACGGATCTACGATTTTGATAAAATACTTATATATGAAATTTCATCAACCTAGCTGTAACGGTACTCAAGTTATCGTGTTTACACACGGACAGACAGACAGACAGACACACAGACAGACACACAGACATACGGACAAGATTGCAAAATTATGTTTTTCCGTATCAGTGAGGTGTAAAACGTCGAGATTTGTAAAAATCTCGATTTTTTTTTTTGCACGATTACAACTTTCTCTATACTTCGTATATACGAGAAAGTAAAAAGAAGATGATATTACACAAAGAAGTTTAAATCATAAAAAAGAACTATTGCAGCGTTGTATCTTTATGTTTTTCATCTGGGGTTTTAAGCTGTGTCGAAGGAGCGAAAGACGGTTATACGAAGCTACAAGATAGGTTTAAAGTGGTTCAACAATGTTTTTCGTTACGACTGGAACTTGGCCAAATCAAACAATAAGTTCGCGTGTTGAGAACACACCCTGGGGAAAATACCTGCTTGTCTTTCAGTCAAATCTATTGTAACCTAACACTTACTGTAGACAGTTTCATTTCAAACCTTTTATCAACAAGTTTTAAAATAAAATCGATGTTTCTGGAACGTTCGGTAGCTTACATCTATTCCAGCATGAATACCGTGAAGCATGTTTTATACAGAGATGTTAAGCTACACTTACAGCATGTTTATCTCTTAAAGTACGGAAGCGGGTAATAGACCGGGGGTAATGTTATATTGCAGTTGTTGTTTTTTTGTTTGTTTGTTTGTTTTTTTTGGGGGGGGGCTGGTGGGGGGAGGGGGGTAATTTGACAGGGAAGTAATTGGCTTGGGGTAATTGCTGGGAGGGGGGTGCGGAGGCCATGACGTGGGGGGACTGTCTATAGATAATTGACTGGAGGGGGGGGGGCGGATAATGTCCTACGCCTATCTTTAACAATATTTTGTTTTGGTGAGAGTGTAACCTAACTCTATTGATGTAGCCTGGTTCGAATCCCTACCCTTTCTGCCGTCACGTGACGCATCTTCCCACACATCCACTTTGTACTTTACCCCTCCATAGACTGTTCTTCGTTAATCCACACGTTCTATCCAAGTAGTTTTCACCTTTTCCTATCAGGTAGCGTAGCCTGTCTAATTTCTGAGTTGTATCAAGCTAGTGTTATATAAAGCCAAACACTATTATAATAAATTTCAAATTATTTTTAAAACCATTTACATACATCAAGTTCAGTGATATTTTTTTTTAAACTATCTAAGATATTTTTCGTTCAAATAAAAATAATTTCAAGGTGTGATTAAAGCTGAGCAGTCAAAGCTCGTGAGCTTCTGCACGTGCTCCTGGCCAATCACCTGATGTTGACGTCACAAGATGGATGGTAATGACCTACTTTAAGATAAGATGGGACATTAAGCATCGCTCGTATCGTATAACAATCAACATTACCCGGGGTTTTTTTTAAATGACATTTTGTGTAATAACATTGAGAAAATGTTTGCATGTCACTACGTCTTTGAGAGTCGGGAACCAGAACACTTCTGCCATGTGTGACCACAGAGATTTGCCCAGATGTGGAGCTGGGCTAATCGTAACCTAGATCATCGCTAATTTGTTAACTTCAAAAGAAGACTAATTGGATAGCTCGTAAAGTGTAGCGCCACTCTTTGTCTACATACATTCTGAGGGTTTGAACGGCCTTGTTTCCTAGGATGAGTTCAAAGAATAGTCTTTAAAGTTTTAGAGATAATTTACTGGATTTAGGACTTACCAGTCAATTAATAACGAAGCACAAGATTAATTAACTAAGAACCACCAAATGTATTATTAAGATCCGCTGCCTTAATATAAGAGGATCTACCACACTTTAATTAGGATCCGATACATTAATTAATTAGGAACCACCAAATTGACTAATTAATAACCACAAATTTATTTTAATTGTGAAACACCAAATTTATCATTAGGGTCCGCTACATTAATTAATTAGCAACAACCAAACTAATTAATTAAGAACCATTAAATTAATTAATTAGGAACCAGCTCATAATTGATTATTAGCCATCTAATTAATTAATTATTAACCACCACATTAATTAATTCGGACCCACATAATGTCGGTCTTTAGGCGTCAGCTCTGAGACTGCCTTTAATTTTATGTCCTCATCTCACTGAGTCCGAGTGCCTATTCCAATCAGTGAAGGAGAGAAGTAGGGCAATGGCTGACTGACACACTACCGAGCGGATTACATTACAGATTCCCACCTTCCGTTATCTCATGCCCCGTAAAGTGGCAACAGATAAAATAAGATTTGAACCAATTAGATGTGAACCAAATGTTCCTGTTTGATTACGATTCTCGGTAAACCTTGTCACGTGTGTCAGTCACATGACCACGGGGAGACTTGTTGCTGTAGGGCCTGCCGGATCTACCTCAAATTTCCCTGGAAATGACTTGCCTACACGGCACATGTAAGGTGTTTTGTTTCCCCAGCGTGTTTTCGTCCCCTCAGCTATTTGTAAAGCAAACAGCAGTAATCCACACAGCCTGTCGACAGCCACAGGCAGGCAGGGGCGGCACCAGGCTGGCAGGAAGAGCGCAAATGACGCAGGTAACGGGCCCAAATAGACCCCATTCAGCCTTATCTCCCGACTCAAGCTTGACGCGTCTTCTTATCTGTTATCATTGTCGGGGATTGGCGGAAAGACCCGATTCATTTTTGTGTTGATTTGAAGTATCATAGCTGCCCCGCAGTTACAGTGTTGCTAATAATAGATAGAGATAAACAATATCAAAGCACAAGAATACAATAGACGTAATTCCCGTGTTTGTTGTTATGGCAATTGTAAACACAGATACATAATTCTGGTTAGGTCATGAACATTAATAGGTCCTAAGCAAATAGAGCAATTGCGATGGTAAACCATCAATAAATAGGACATACCACGTTAAAGATTATTTGTCCTAATAGTCCGAAAAAAGTAATAGAATTAAATACAACGAGCCGACCCGCGGCGTATCATACGCCGCTATTTAGTTGTTTAATTTTCTACTTTTCAGTAATTCATAATTTGTGAGTTCGACAGTATCAATGCTGCCACTGAAAATATATGCTTTAAAACACTATCAGTAGGCCGTTAAGGACGATAACCCCCCACCCCAACCCTCCTTTCCCCCACCCCTACCCTACACCCCCCCCCTCCCCGTGAAAGCAGCCTTCTCTTAATTACCTCCCCTAAGTTTAAAATAGTTTCAAACTAAATTATCTGCCCCTAATAGGCGTCACTAAACCCGGCTGTACGATTGTAAACATTTAGCGTGAACCACAGCTCACCAGACTATGTTGGGGTGGGGGAGGTTGATTTATGCCTTACAGCTTGTTTTCTAGGGTCTCCAAGAAGAGAAATATATATATATATATATATAGATGTGAGAGTTAAATAATCCTATAATCCTGGACTAAATTGGCAGGGGGTTGGAGGTTATTTGTCCTAATAGTCCTAAACAAGTTGAACAGGACGCAAGATTTTATGGGTCTTAACAAAACATGAACAAAAGCTTAGCCAACAGCGCCGGTAAGATTTGAAAGCGTAGGATGTCAACATCGTTAAAAATGTTCAACAGCTTTTCTGTGAGGAGCCGATCTTTAGAGGGATTCTGAGCCAGGTATGTGCCCAGTGGGGTGCAAATAACTCAACTTTTGAAAGCTGTTAAAAGTCAGGTGAGTGTTTTGAGTCGGGTGTTGTGTTGATCTATGTGTAGGGGTCGGTACACGGCATGTAGGGTTATGTGTACATGGTGTACTGAGGGATGTGTTCACGTCAAGTAGGGTTTTGTGTACATGATGTACTGAGGGATGTGTACACGGCATTTGTTTATCTGTACATGGTATATTTTAAGGATGTGTACACGACATAGGTTATGTGTCAATAGTGTACTGAAAGATGTGGACTTACGGGTTCTAGCAGTGTACACGTACATTATAAAAATGTACACCACAAAATCTAACAATGTATAGAAGTACGTTTATGAGTGTACACTATAAATACACCAAGATCTGTCATTTTTAAATGTAGTGGTGGATTTATCTATTTTCCACTAATAGCTGACTCAAGTTACGAACAGAAAATTACGATTTAACGGCCTCAAATATTGAAGGCGGCTATTTTAATAACTCAAAATAGGTTTTTGCATCTGATTTATGTGCGCTTATGGGGTGTTTGTGTGTAAAACTGTAATATAGGGGGTGTTACGGCTGTACAGCAGTGATTACTTGTTTGCAGTGATACCCTGACACCACTAAAGATAAAAAAAATACAGCAAAAAAAAACCAGTTTAAAGAGATGCAACTCTTCTTGTAAGACGCCGAGCCGAGTGGCAGTGGACAAAAAAAAAACAAGAAGTAAAGAAAGGTACAACAGTACAAAACTGAGCTAGTCGCTACAGAAAAAAAGGTCACCAAATCTTCCACCCCACATCTTCATCAGAATCCCTTGATTATTAGACTTTTTTTGTTATATGTTACAACGCTTTCTTTATCTAGGGACTCAAATGTGTTTTGTAGTGACCGAAAAATTTCACATCGGCTCTACTTCTACTGCTCCAAATGACCGACATTATTGAAATTCTAATTTTTAGTATTTTTTTAACATGGACACGCCCTTGATATTTAGCATTGTGTCTTTTGTGTATTGGTTAAAAAAAACTTTAATATAAAATAACGGATTAGAAGTAATTAACTTTAAATTAATGATCATCAAAATCGCATACCAGCTTTAAAAAAAAGATATAAAATTTAATTTTACTGAAGGTGTTTTTATGTTGACGAGAAGGAATCAGTGGCGGATCGACTAAATCAGAAGGGACTTCGACAAAAGGTATGCATCAATACAATTATCTGCTGTAGGGCCCACGTCAAAAAGCCGTGCAAGTAATGATGAAACGGGTATAAATTTCCCGAAACATACTTCAAAAGTTTTCAATTCACATCCATTGCTCGTTTCAATTAGAAAGGGACATTACAATTTGAAAACATCATTGCTAGTTTTAAAAAAAAACAACTAACTAGTACGTATTTACCAATAGTTTACCTATAGTTCTAGTTCTGCTTTAAATGTTAAACATCCTTTTTGTTAAGAGTTATTTTTTGGATGGATAAATTGTTATTTTTATTTCGTTTCGATTCTTTTGTGTGCATGTATATTTATTTTTTTATGTATATGTACGTTAACTTGTTTACTTTGTTTTCCGTTTGTTTATTTGTGTCTATGTGTGTGTCTATTTTGTGTGAAATTTAATGTGAAAAACCACATCCCAACTCAAACAAACGCCAGTACTATCCAACGTCTGCTGCGTGTTTCCGGTCTGTACAGTTTTCACGTCATCACGGAGCAGACGGCAGGTTTTATGGATTAATTGCCGCGCGCCATCTGGCGGGTATCGGGAGCATCTTGCAGGGAACAATAACATTTTCATCTCGTCTGTTTGAATAGCGGGCCAACCACACAGCCACTTAATGGCGGGACAACCACACAACCACTTAATGGTGGGCCAACCACACAGCCACTTAATGGCGGGCCAACCACACAGCCACTTAATAGCGGGCCAACCACACAGCCACTTAATGGCGGGACAACCACACAACCACATGATGTAGGGCCAACCACACAGCCACTTAATGGCGGGCCAACCACACAACCACTTAATGGTGGGCCAATCACACAGCCACTTAATGGCGGGCCAACCACACAGCCAGATGATGTAGGGCCAACCACACAACCAGATGATGTAGGGCCAACCACACAACCAGATGATGTAGGGCCAACCACACAACCACATGATGTAGGGCCAACCACACAACCACATAAATACGGGCCAACTACACAGCCACATGATGTAGGGCCAACCACACAACCACATAGAGACGTGCCAACCACACAACCACTTAATGGCGGGCCAACCACACAACCACACGATGTAGGGCTAACCACACAACCACATAAATACGGACCAACCACACAAACATATAATGGCTGGCCTAGCTCTTAACCACATAAGGCGGGCTAACCACACAACCACATAATGTAGGGCCAACCACACAACCACATAATAGCGGGCCAGCCTCTCACTGCTGGACGGTTTTCTTTAAACCAGCATGTAGTGGTAAGTGCTAGGGGGGGGGCGCTATTCTTTACCCTTTACAGTCGTCTGTAATAGTTATTGTACTTTTATGCTTCAACATTTTAAGGTAACAAAAGACACACCCATATATTCCCATCGAAAACACTCAAATACTGCACCGGAAATCATAGTTTAAAAATTCGAAAAAATGATGCCAAACCGGAAATACCTGATAGCACTACGGAAACACCCTAAAATACACCCGGAAACAACCGACTGCCCAGACACTGAAACAAGACACAAATCTGCTAAAGCTGCCACTATTCTGCTAATCTACCAAACAACCAGGTCTAATTAACCATTTGACTTGATTGTATTAGATCATGTCGGGTTACCTAACATTTTAATTTAGTCCTGATCAAGCGTTGACCTAATTTACTGACCTGATTTCCCGACGCCCAGTGCACCAATGAGAGCGATGTTAAACTCCGGCGTCGCCCCATTTCTGTGGAACGGCTTCCTGCCACTCATGCTGACCACCTGTGTTCTGCGAGTCTGGCACCCTCGACTGGGCCTCGTCCGCTGCCTGCACGGTTTATTTATGCTCCGATCTAAAGCTGTTCACAATCCGTCACCCTCTCCACAGAAAATATCCACCTTGCTTGGTAACACACTAGATCCACTGTAACTCAAGCACATTATTCCCGTCCACACAATGTATCCACCTTATCCAGAGCAGACACGATATCCACAGTACCTGGATAACATTAACCCACAATTCTCCCTGTCTTGAAGCCGCTTTGAACACACTAATAGGCTAATATAAAATTAGGTGTAATATTTGTAGCACGTTGCCCACTTGACGCCAGCTAATTGACTGCATTGAGTTCCATCTACAAAGTTTACAAAGATAAAAGAATATTTGACATCACACATAAAACGAATACTGGGATAAAAATACTTGAAGGATTGATGTTTTCGGGGAGTGTCGGGGTATTCGACAAGTAAGATTTTGTTTACTTTACACGTACAGGGGTAAAAGATGTTTGAGTTCAAGTACTCTTCGTACTGACATTCAGCTCAGCGTTCACATTAACATTTGCATTAACTTTTGTATCAGGATTCACATTAACATTTGCATCAACTTTTGTATCAGGATTCACATTAACATTTGCATCAACTTTTGTATCAGGATTCACATCAATCTTTTGTTTTAACATTCACATAAACTTTTGTATCAAGATTCACATCAACATTTGTTTTAACATTCTCATCAACTTTTGTATTAACATTCTCATCAACTTTTGTATTAACATTCACATCACTTTCGTATTAGTTAACATTCACATCAACCATATTTATATAACAGGTGAGTTCCAATAGTTACATCAATTATTGCATCAACATTCACAATAACTTTGCATCCAACACTCACATCAACGTTCCCATCAACATTTGTTTTAAAAAAAATTTCAATTTTTGTATCAACATTCTCATCAACTTTTGTATTGACATTCACATCAACGTTTGTATCAATTAACATTCACATCAACAATATTTATATTACTGCATTAACTTTCAAATCAACTTTTGCATCTAATATTCACATTAACATTCAAAATAACATTTCTATCAACATTTACACCAACAGTAACAGCAGCATTTGCATCGAACATTCACGCCAACACGAATATTAATATCAACATTCACAAGCCCATCAACATTAACATGCACATCAACATTCACATTAACATTATATCCATCGCAACATGCGCATCAGAAATTCATCCATAATTACAACTTAAAACCCATAACTACGGATGCATTGTTATAAACATTGACAATAACATTTAAATTTAACGTTTATAATAACATTGACAATAACATTTAAATTTAACGTTCACAGTAACATTTACAATAACATTTAAATGTAACGTTCAAAATAACATTGAAAATAACATTTAAATGTAACGTTCATAATAACATTGACAATAACATTTAAATGTAACGTTCATGATAACATTGACATTATCATTTAAATTTAACGTTCACAATAAAATTTATAATAACATTAACAATTCATTTAAAATTAGCATTACAAAATACATTAAAATCAGCATTTACATTTCAAATAAAAATTCACCCTAACTTTATACAATAGACATCATATTTCAGTTCGTTATACACATCAACATTCCTGATAACATTTGACATTTACATCAAAGTTCACATCAAAAGTAGCCAACATTATGTGTGTTGTTTTTATTATTTCTGAAGTTGTTTCCACTAATTTTGTTTTTAATTTTCACAGTGGTTTCCAAATGTTTGTTTTTCCTTTTTAGTTCATAAATAAAGTGTCTTTAAAATATCTCTAAATATTTTTTCGTTAAATTATGTTGTACTCTAGACGTAACTATTCACTGAAAAAATTATTTTTAAAATTGTATTCATTCATTTTTTTTTAGATTTTGTATTTGTTTCCTTATTAAATGTATGAATTATTTTCCGACTTCGAATTTTAACTGACCTTAATTAACAGCAATTAATTTAAAAAGCAATTTTAAAAACATTTAAATAGCTGCTAATTGAGCCAAGGGTAATTAGGATGGAAGTTTTAAAAAATTAATTGCCAAGTCCGAGTTTTAAAATTATTGATTTGACACCTACAAATATATGGCAAAAACTTTCTTAGAATAAACACCACGTACGGCATCTTCTTATCTAGTTCTTTTAACGTAATATATCTACTTCAACAACCGAAACACCTTGATAAGTTTAGATGTTGATTATCTGTTGTTGTCCTTGATCTCACATGTTCAAATATTAAGTTTCTTTGTGTTTGCTTTACTTAGGATTAGATAACTTAAAATGTATGTCCTGGTTATATTTGGCTCACTATATATAATGATCATTTAGTTTCTTTGTGTTTCCTTTACTTAGCTTTAGATAACTTAAAATTTTAATTTTTTATTATATTTGGCTCACTGTATATAACGATCATTAAGTTTCTTTGTGTTTCCTTTACTTAGGATTAGATAACTTAAAATTTAAGTCCTGGTTATATTTGGCTCACTGTATATAACGATCATTTAGTTTCTTTGTTTTTCCTTTACTTAGGATTAGATAACTTAAAATTTAAGTCCTGGTTATATTTGGCTCACTGTATATAACGATCATTTAGTTTCTTTGTTTTTCCTTTACTTAGGATTAGATAACTTAAAATTTAAGTCCTGGTTATATTTGGCTCACTGTATATAACGATCATTTAGTTTCTTTGTTTTTCCTTTACTTAGGATTAGATAACTTAAAATTTAAGTCCTGGTTATATTTGGCTCACTGTATATAACGATCATTTAGTTTCTTTGTTTTTCCTTTACTTAGGATTAGATAACTTAAAATTTAAGTCCTGATTATATTTGGCTCGCTGTATATAACGATCATTTAGTTTCTTTTACTTAGGATTAGATAACTTAAAATTTAAGTCCTGGTTATATTTGGCTCACTGTATATAACGATCATTTAGTTTCTTTGTTTTTCCTTTACTTAGGATTAGATAACTTAAAATTTAAGTCCTGATTATATTTGGCTCACTGTATATAACGATCATTTAGTTTCTTTGTTTTTCCTTTACTTAGGATTAGATAACTTAAAATTTAAGTCCTGATTATATTTGGCTCGCTGTATATAACGATCATTTGGTTTCTTTGTTTTTCCTTTACTTAGGATTAGATAACTTAAAATTTAAGTCCTGATTATATTTGGCTCACTGCATTTAACGATCATTTAAAAGTCTAGCTCCTGATTATATTTGTCTCACTGTATATAACGATCATTTAAAAGTCTAGTTCCTGATTATATTTGTCTCACTGTATATAACGATCATTTAAAAGTCTAGTTTCTGATTATATTTGTCTCACTGTATATAACGATCATTTAAAAGTCTAGTTCCTGATTATATTTGTCTCACTGTGTATAACGATCATTTAAAAGTCTAGTTTCTGATTATATTTGTCTCACTGTATATAACGATCATTTAAAAGTCTAGTTCATGATTATATTTGTCTCACTGTATATAACGATCATTTAAAAGTCTAGTTTCTGATTATATTTGTCTCACTGTATATAACTATCATTTAAAAGTCTAGTTTCTGATTATATTTGTCTCACTGTATATAACGTTCATTTAAAAGTCTAGTTCCTGATTATATTTGGCTCACTGTATATAACGATCATTTAAAAGTCTAGTTCCTGATTATATTTGTCTCACTGTATATAACGATCATTTAAAAGTCTAGTTTCTGATTATATTTGTCTCACTGTATATAACTATCATTTAAAAGTCTAGTTTCTGATTATATTTGTCTCACTGTATATAACGTTCATTTAAAAGTCTAGTTCCTGATTATATTTGTCTCACTGTATATAACTATCATTTAAAAGTCTAGTTTCTGATTATATTTGTCTCACTGTATATAACGATCATTTAAAAGTCTAGTTCCTGATTATATTTGTCTCACTGTATATAACTATCATTTAAAAGTCTAGTTCATGATTATATTTGTCTCACTGTATATAACGATCATTTAAAGGTCTAGTTACTGATTATATTTGTCTCACTGTATATAACGATCATTTAAAAGTCTAGTTCCTGATTATATTTGTCTCACTGTATATAACGATCATTTAAAGGTCTAGTTACTGATTATATTTGTCTCACTGTATATAACGATCATTTAAAAGTCTAGTTCCTGATTATATTTGTCTCACTGTATATAACGTTCATTTAAAAGTCTAGTATCTGATTATATTTGTCTCACTGTATATAACGTTCATTTAAAAGTCTAGTTCCTGATTATATTTGTCTCACTGTATATAACGATCATTGAGAGGTGGGGGTAATGCTGTGATGTGAGATTTTAATTATAAAAATAGTAACTGTGTCAATGTTTGATGCAGGCAGTGTTACACCTGTTTGATCGTAGGCGTATTGAGGTGGATTTTCCAGAGTAGTTACTACTCTAGGCTCATCAAATAGGCGTAGGGCTAGGCTAAGGAAACTGCAGATCTACGATAGGCAAACGTTAAAACATTTTAGGCTGGTTTTTATGCGAAGTTGTTTTAATTGTGTATGCTAGGAAAAATGTTATATTGGTTTGGTTGAAGAGTGCCTAAGATGTTTCAAACGAACATGTATTCTATTATAGCATCAGGGCCGCTTTACTGAGTGATCGATGGTCGCTGTAACAAATATTTTAAGATATTCGCCATAACAGTGACTTTAAGACATATCCTCTTTAAGATATTCGCCAACGTATATAGTAAGATTGTCGGAATCACAGTGCTTTTAAGAAATTCGCCATCAAGGCAACATGAATACATTATAAATTCGCAAACACTTGTACCTATTAAACCATATTTGTAAATAAATAATATTAACTCACTAAGCATTAATACACATTTACAATCACAACAATTTGCCATCACAAAACATATACCATAATGATATATCTGTGATCTCAATGCCGCTGCCATTGTGTCAATACATCACATATTATAAATAATAACAGCACATCTACCATATCAACATATTTACCATCAAATAAACCTTCATACCATCATTACATCGTCTACTATCAGAATACTTCAATCATAATAAAAAACACTTCTAACATAACAATACAGCTACCGAAACATAGACCTTCACAACTCATCCCCTCAGAACAATTACTATCTATCATAGCATATCTACCATCATACCTACCACTTCAGCACATTTACCATCACAACTACCACGGCAACATATCTACCATCACAACTACCACGGAAACACATCTACTATCATAACTACCACGGCAACACATCTACTATCACAACTACCACTTATGCACATCTACCATCACAACTACCACGGCAACACTACTACCTTCAAAACCGCACGGGCAACATTTTTACTATCACAACAACCACGGCAACACAGCTAACACCACAACAACCACCACAACACTTGGACCACTTATGAATTGATCCAGGCAGCGATGATGTCGACCTAATCTCTCCCCCACTAGATCACCCGGTGTTCATCCCTCTAAGGCACGACCGTAACACGTACTTGCCTTGAACCGGGGCATGTCTAGAAATAGCAGATCAAACACAATCAGACGTAAACAGTTTCCACCATAGTCCCACACGGTGCTAGAACTCACACACTAGTGCTAGAACTCACTGCACCCCCGAGTGCCGGGCCTTGCCACTGGCTCCTGCCTGAACACGCGCGCCTACACGCTCCGAGCACCTGTCTCTCGATCGTTCCACTTCTGCCAGACACGGCCTGGACAACACGAGCGGGAACCAGAAGATAAGACCGGGGATTCTGGGAGTGGAATAAAAAAATGGTTGATTTTTTTTTTAAACTAGGTAAGGAGGGGGAAATTAAAGGTGATCTTTGTCTAGCATGCTTTTGTAAAAAAAATATATAGTGAAATAGATGAAGCTATCAATAGTTTAATGGCTATCAACAATTCAACAGGTATCAGCAATTCAAATGTATCGAGATTTCAACAGCTATCCACCATATACCATATACACCTTTCGAAATGTATCAACAATTAAACAGTTCTAAACTTTTCAAAATCTATTAACATTTGAACCTCTTTTAATCATTACACGTCATCAACTCTACATCTACAAGCGTCTTTCTTCGATACACTTTACACACATGTTTTATGTGTTACTTTCTTACACTTTACACGCGTGTTTTATGTGTTACTTCCTTACACTTTACACACGTGTTTAGGTGTATCTTCATTACATTTCACACATGGGTTTTAGCTGTCTAAGTGCTTAGCTGCCCAAGTTCTTAGCTGTCCATGTTCTTAGCTGTCCAAGTTCTTAGCTGTCCATGTTCTTAGCTGTCCAGGTTCTTAGCTGTCCAAGTTCTTAGCTGTCCAAGTTCTTAGCTGTCCAAGTTCTTAGCTGTCCAAGGTTTTAGCTGTCCAAGTTCTTAGCTGTCCAAGTTCTTAGCTGTCCAAGTTCTTAGCTGTCCAAGTTCTTAGCTGTCCAAAGTCTTAGCTGTCCAAGTTCTTAGCTGTCCAAGTTCTTAGCTGTCCAAGTTCTTAGCTGTCCAAGTTCTTAGCTGTCCAAGTTCTTAGCTGTCCAAGTTCTTAGCTGTTCAAGTTCTTAGCTGTCCAAGTTCTTAGCTGTCCAAGTTCTTAGCTGTCCAAGTTCCTAGGTGTCAAGTTCTTAGCTGTCCATGTTCTTAGCTGTCCAAGTTCTTAGCTGTCCAAGTTCTTAGCTGTCCAAGTTCTTAGCTGTCCAAGTTCTTAGCTGTCCATGTTCTTAGTTGTCTATGTTCTTAGTTGTACAAGTTCTTAGCTGTCCATGTTCTTAGCTGTCCAAGTTCTTAGCTGTCCTAGTTCTTAGCTGTCCAAGTTCTTAGCTGTCCAAGTTCTTAGCTGTCCAAGGTTTTAGCTGTCCATGTTCTTAGCTGTCCAAGTTCTTAGCTGTCCAAGTTCTTAGGTGCCTAGTTCTTAGCTGTCTAGTTCTTAGCTGTCCAAGTTCTTAGCTGTCCAAGTTCTTAGCTGTCCATGTTCTTAGCTGTCCAAGTTCTTAGCTGTCCAAGGTTTTAGCTGTCCAAGTTCTTAGCTGACCATGTTCTTAGTTGTACAAGTTCTTAGCTGTCCATGTTCTTAGGTGTCAAGTTCTACTGTTTCTAGTTGTGTTCACCCTTGTTTATTTCAACGTACAACATCACAAAAGCTGCATTAAAATAATGTTTATCCTTGTTTTTTTGTTGTCTCACGTTGAAGACAACATAGAAAATGAAACGACCGTATGGTGAGCTGCTTTCGTATTTTGAGAAGATTTTTGAGATGGGAATTGTGTTTTAGATTAAAACGTCTTTTGAACTACTTCTATGAATAATTTGGGGCGACTGGCATGTGTTTATAATTTAAATGAACAATGTAAGTATTTGAGTGAATAGGAGAGAACGTGTAAATGACTTTTGTGACTTTAATGTATAGTTTGTGTGGGATGACTGTAAAGATCAACTTTAATTCATAATATTTGTGTGAGTGACTTTGATGAGTGACTTGTGTGAGGACTTCAGTGACGCGAACACTGAATACCACAGCAATAACAATTTGACCAACAAAGTACCCAGCGTTCTTTAAATCGGCAGAGCTGAAGAAAGAAAGCACTAATTGAGGTGTGAAGTGGGGGGAAACCTAATTAACGGCACTGCCAAGGTAAGGCCGGGTCATTGTGCTAGTAATTAGCCAGATTTGTTACAACTCAGCAAAGTTCTCCAACAAATTGATGGCTTTCTCTGTAATGAACGAGACAAGCTATCTACTATAGTGCATCAGGACAGGCTAATATTCTCATTAGATTCGACGTATCTTTAATCAGAGCAGCAGGAACTATGTTTAACCAACCCTTTTTGTTCCTCTTTACCCACCAAACTCTTGAGACGAAAACATGTGTATTGATCTTTTATATAATCAGAATGTTATTTGTGTTTATCAACTGTTCATCAGATAAATCAAGGTTGGGACTTCAGAATTTCAACAGCTTTGAATAAACTGAACCATTAACGTTAAGAATTGGATAGTTGGTAAGCCTTTGATTAATACATGCGTCACTTTTGTAGCCGCCACTACCTGCTTGTATTTCTTCTTTCTGATAATTAAAGAAAAAAAAATGATGCGTCAGCCGGGAGTCGAACCCGGTCTAATTGCTTGGAAGGCAACTATGCTAACCGTTACACCACCGACGCTTACATATACTATTATAGTTTTTGTCAAGATATTGCTTTTCAAATGGCGGCTTTAAAACTGACGTTCAATATTTTCAACTGAAGAATTTCTCCAGCAAGGATTAAGGCGAAACATCTGGTTCTTATTGATCTCAAGTACAGCTACCTCAGTAGAGGATATGAGTCACGTGGTACAACACAAGACATACATCATACCATACATTACAAGACACATAGATGACACATCACAAGATACGCATTATATGTGTTATATCACAAGATATCACAGAAGACACACATCGCAAGATAAAAGACATAAAGCATACATGACAAGACGAAATCAAATTAGACACCACAAGATAACATAAGACCAATATTATAAGATATATAATACTAGAAACATAAGACAACACAATACAAAACGCATTGCTTGTAAATTCACAAGAAACAATACAACAAACATTACAAGATACACATCAATAAACATAACAAGAGACATTGTATGAAACACAATACCACCTTACTCTATGTCATGCCAAAAAAAAACTGTCTGGTAAAAACAGGTGAAATAGATTTTTTTTCAATTTCTATACATCAGACTAAAATTGTTTGGTAGTTCTTGCACTGTATATTACCCCCATAACCCCAGCAGGGGCGGAACGGCTAAAGACTTTCTTTTAGTGTTGATTTAACATGTAGACCGATATCGTAAGCACCAGGTCACCAAGGTAAGGTCCATCACACACCACATCACAGTAAATAACACAACATTTGCCCTTTTAACACCTAGTACAGCATAGATTTTAAACATTTTTCCAAGCTTTTCAGGTATTTGTTTTTTGTTTTCATTTCTCCAACCTTTCCATAAATATTCTCGTCTTTTGCAATGCTCCAATCGGTAGGCAAGAACTAATCAACTTTGTTTATAGTTTAGTCCAGTCCACGGCCAAACGTATTACCTCTGTTTACCTCCGAAAGGAAATGTACTGATGTCGATGTGTTTGGTGTCCACAAAAAATTGTGGGCCTTAGGATGCTGCCCGGTCAGCCTCCCCATTTATCCGCCCCTGAATACACCCACTAAGGTACACATGACTGAAACAAACGCGACAAGAACTCTCTCGCTTAAGGAAATAAAAAAGTTTTATTCTGTAACAAATGTGTCATGTTCAGGTTTGTTGGTAAACACTCGACGTTTGGTAGACCGTAGTCAGCTGACTTGATGACCCCGTCCTTGACCTCCAGCCTGACGGCGTCACGTGATCCGACAGACGGACACTCGTGGAAGTAGTTGTAGGGCAGGAGCGAGATGGTGGCGCTGGTGCCTACAGTCGGGGTGTTGGGGATGTCCTCCGTGTGGGGGATGTGGTGGAACCCCACAGTCACCCAAAACACAAGGTCCTGGGGAGTGTGTGATAAAGCGGGTTAAAAATTTTAACATAGAACTTTTATAGTTGTCTGGGTTTAATATTTTAATTTTAGCCCATATAGTTGGCCAACTTATACAGAGAGCCACCTCCACCATCTGGCCACCTCATACACCTGGCCACCTGATACAGCTGGCCACCTCATACAGCTGGCCATCTCATACACCTGGCCACCTCATACATCTGGCCACCTCATACAGCTGGCCACCTCATACAGCTGGCCACCTCCAACAGATGGCCACCTCCACCATCTGGCCACCTCATACATCTGGCCACCACATACAGCTGGCCACCTCATACAGCTGGCCACCTCCAACAGCTGGCCACCTCCACCATCTGGCCACCTCATACATCTGGCCACCACATACATCTGGCCACCACATACATCTGGCCACCACATACATCTGGCCACCACATACATCTGGCCACCACATACAGCTGGCCACGTCATACATCTGGCCACCTCATACAGTTGGCCACAAATCCCACCTCCACCATTGGCCTCCATCCCTAGCTGGCCACCTCATACATCTGGCCACCTAATACAGCTGGCCACCTCATACAGTTGGCCACCTCATACATCTGGCCATCTCATACATCTGGCCACCTCATACAGTTGGCCACCTCCACCAGCTGGCCACCTCATACAGCTGGCCACCTCATACAGCTGGCCACTTCATACACCTGGCCACCTCATACATCTGGCCACCTCCACCAGCTGGCCACCTCATACATCTGGCCACCTCATACAGTTGGCCACCTCATACAGCTAGCCACCTCATACAGCTGGCCACCTCATACACCTGGCCACCTCATACAGCTGGCCACCTCATACAGCTGGCCACCTCCACCATCTGGCCACCTCATACAGCTGGCCACCTCATACATCTGGCCACCTCATACATTTGGCCACCTCATACACCTGGCCACCCCCACTATCTGGCCACCTCCACCATCTGGCCACCTCCACCATCTGGCCACCCCATACATTTGGCCACAAGTGACGCCTCACCTGGTCCACGATGCTCTCGTCGTCCCTGAGGTAATGGTCCAGGTCGACCTGTGGCCCGGCCCCGTCAAACATGGAGAAGATGGAGCTGCTCGACTCCTCTTCT